CACGTTGAAACTTTTTACTGTCAAAATAAAAAATATATATATATGTATGTGTGAATTCTATGTTCTATGATCTTTTCTTGTTGTTAATGTTATAAAGAAAGGCGTGTACTTTGTTAGATGAATGAATTGTTTCTTTCGTTGAATAAGACTCATTCATAATTTATTATAGTACATTAATTCAATGCAAATGATCAACGATTAACTTAATTATCCTCCCATGTTTTTTCTTCTTCTTCTTCTTCTCATAATTCTATCGAATTAAAATTTCAATAGAGAAAACGGTAAAAATGATTACATTTAATTTCATCTAAACGTGAAAGTGAAATCTAAGAATTCTAATATAAATTATATATATATATATATATATATATATATATATATTACCAAACGCGTAATCTATGGCTTTAAACTTTTAACCATGAAAATATATTAAGACACACAATTTAATAGTTACAAAAATATTCTATCGTAATTTTCTACACATTTAAAATAAATAAATAGATCCGGAATAAGAGTTTACGTGAACTAGTGTATAATGACGAAACCACCATATGACGATGATGATGATGATGATGATGATGATGAAAAAATAGGTGTGCCTGATTTTCATCGTTACAATTCTTAACTATCGATAATTACATATTCCAAACTGTTGTATTTTAAACTTGAAACATTGGCCGTCATTATCTCATAAATGGCGTTTCAAAGGAAACAAACAAAACAAAAAAATCAAACGTTCGCGAATGGAGGAATCGTAAATTGTTACACAAAAAAAACAAAACCTCCTTCATTTTCACTCTTATTACTTTTTTTTTCTATTTTATTTTATTACATCCTAACCTTTCCCAACCAACTCATTCCTGCATACGTTTTATAACACACAAAAGTTAACAAAGAAGATGATTCATTTTCACATAAGTTTCATTCACTTGAGCAATATTTTCATTGAAAATTCATTTCAAATATAATTCAACGAATTATTTCATTGATAATTCAATGATTTATTTATTCAATACTTTGATTAAATATTAAAACAAATTCCAATTATAATTGTCTTGTCAAATTAATATTTTTTTTGTTTGGGGGGGAGGGAGGAGGATTTTATACGTGGATGGGTTAAAAAGTTTTGTGTCTGACATATAATAAAAACAATTTTTTGATTTACTTTACATTGAAATTCGAAACTCTTCTAAACTCGTACAAAACTTTTGTATATTTTTGGTTACTTTTTGTTTTTTTCTTGTTAAACATTCGTCTGAAATATTGTTCGAATGAAATTTAATCAAACGATGAGATAAAAGAAAATAAAAAAAGAACAAATCAATATCTGTTGAAATAATTCAATTTATCGTACAATGAGATCACTCTTCTCTCCTCTCTCTCATTCTTTCCGAATATTTAGTAATTTAAAATAATAAATTGAAATACAATATTGCATATACAAGATATATATTAAATCTAACATGAGCTTGTAGCTCGTAATTGAAATCGGACGTAATTTAATAATCGTATATTTCAAGGAAACAATTCCTTTATTCCTTATCTCGAGAGTACGTTCATATCCGTGACGCAAATTCTTCCTTTCTCCATACATACAAACGTGCTTCCGCTTTGTATAAGTGAAAAACATTTCAAATAATCCAAACTTAAAATAATTATAATATATCACGCGATAATTATTATTTTAATAATTATTATTATGCAA